ACGAATCCCATTGGTTATTTTCTATCGGTCCGCCCCAAAATATGTTGTTATTTTTGGAGACTGAGAGAGAGAGAGAGACAGAAAGACAGCGAATCATCCCCACAGAGAGAGAGAGAGCGAGAGAGAGACAGAGAAAGAGAGTGGATCATCCCCACAGAGAGAGAGAGAGAGACAGAAAGAGAGCGGATCATCACCACAGAGAGAGAGAGAGAGAGAGAGAGACAGAGAAAGAGAGTGGATCATCCCCACAGATAGAGAGAGAGAGAGACAGAGAAAGAGAGCGAATCATCCCCACAGAGAGAGAGAGAGAGAGAGACAGAGAAAGAGAGTGGATCATCCCCACAGATAGAGAGAGAGAGAGACAGAGAAAGAGAGCGGATCATCCCCACAGAGAGAGAGAGAGAGAGAGAGAGACAGAGAAAGAGAGTGGATCATCCCCACAGAGAGAGAGAGAGAGAGAGACAGATAGAGAGCGGATCATCCCCACAGATAGAGAGAGACAGAAAGAGAGCGGATCATCCCCACAGAGAGAGAGAGAGAGAGAGAGAGACAGAGAAAGAGAGTGGATCATCCCCACAGAGAGAGAGAGAGAGAGAGAAAGAGAGCGGATCCCCACAGAGAGATACAGAGAAAGAGAGCGGATCATCCCCACAGAGAGAGAGAGAAAGAGAAAGAGAGAGGATCATCCCCACAGAGAGAGAGAGAGAGACAGAAAGAGAGCGGATCATCACCACAGAGAGAGAGAGAGAGAGAGAGAGAGAGACAGAGAAAGAGAGTGGATCATCCCCACAGAGAGAGAGAGAGAGAGAGAGAGAGAGAGAGACAGAGAAAGAGAGTGGATCATCCCCACAGAGAGAGAGAGAGAGAGAGAGAGAGAGAGAGAGAGAAAGAGAGCGGATCCCCACAGAGAGAGAGATACAGAGAAAGAGAGCGGATCATCCCCACAGAGAGAGAGAGACAGAGAAAGAGAGAGGATCATCCCCACAGAGAGAGAGACAGAGAAAGAGAGCGGAGAATCCCCACAGATAGAGAGAGAGAGAGACAGAGAAAGAGAGTGGATCATCCCCACAGATAGAGAGAGAGAGAGACAGAGAAAGAGAGCGGATCATCCCCACAGAGAGAGAGAGAGAGAGAGAGAGAGAGAGAAAGAGAGCGGATCCCCACAGAGAGAGAGATACAGAGAAAGAGAGCGGATCATCCCCACAGAGAGAGAGAGACAGAGAAAGAGAGAGGATCATCCCCACAGAGAGAGAGACAGAGAAAGAGAGCGGAGAATCCCCACAGAGAGAGAGAGAGAGAGACAGAGAAAGAGAGAGGATCAAACCCACAGAGAGAGAGAGAGAGAGACAGAGAAAGAGAGCGGATCATCCCCACAGAGAGAGAGACAGAGAAAGAGAGCGGAGAATCCCCACAGAGAGAGAGAGAGAGAGACAGAGAAAGAGAGAGGATCAAACCCACAGAGAGAGAGAGAGAGAGACAGAGAAAGAGAGCGGATCATCCCCCTGGAAAAATCACTGACGGCATCTTTAATTCATTTTGCAGAACAAAAACTGCAAAACCTTGCGGAAAATGTCACTTTCAGAGCGAGAGAGAGAGCGAGAGAGACCCCCAGTATCCACCATCACAATGATATAGAAACTAGTCTCAGCCCAAAGAGTCAAACGGTGACTCTCTGGGCTCTTTTTGCTCTTGTGCAGAGTTTGTGTTGTGGTTCCTTCACCAAAACATTTCTCGTTTACCAAAATCTCAGACGTCTCAAAAACAAAAATAACTCCTCGCCGCGGCACGACCTCGCAAAGCCGCGCACCTCTGCTGGCGGCGGCAAGCGGCGGGTATTCTGGGCCGCTCTGATTGCAGGAAAAACATGGATAAATAATTGCGGCGAGTCCTTTCCGGCGTGCGCGCTGCAGGAGGATGAAAGAGGAGGCTGTAGGTATTTTTAAACGTCTGCTTGAGGAATGTCTGAGCGTGTGGGGAAACACCGAGAGGAGAGGACGGCGACAGGTTCTCCACGGATTCACATTCAGCGCATTTATTTTCTATTTGCAGTAAAACCCCATTGGAATACATGCGCAAGAGTCCCCCGCAGAGCATCGGACAATTAGGTACTATGAATCAAGATTTAAAAAGAGTACAAAAACAACCAAAACACATAGATTTGCACATTGCTAGAGTAGAAGCCCGTCTCTTATTTTCAGGAAGACTGTTCTAGATTTTAGCATTTATCTGAAATGAGGCCTCCCCCATGTTTAGTTCTGACCCTGGGCCCCAGCAGGAGGCCAGTCCCTGTGCTGCTCAGAGTGGCAGCAGGAGACTAGAGAGAGAGATCAGAGAGAAAGACCAGAAAGAGAGAGACCACAGAGAGAACGAAATACCAGAGAGGAAATTTTGAGAGAGAGACCAGAGGTAGAAGCCAAGGAGACACACCAGCGAGATGCCAGAGAGAGAGAGAGACCAGAGATAGAAACCAAGGAAAGACACCAGCGAGATAGAAATGCCAGAGAGAGAGAGAGCTCAGAGAGAGTTCCGTAATGAGAGGGACCGGAGAGAGCATCCAAAGAGAGACACCAGAGAGTGAGAGCAGAGAGAGAGATCAGAGAGAAAGACCAGAGAGAGAGACCTCAGAGAGAACAAAATACCAGAGAGGAGAACTTGAGAGAGACCAGCGACAGAAGCCAAAGAGAGACCAGAGAGACTCGAGAGAGACCAGAGAGAGAAGCCAAAGAAAGAGACCAGAGATAGAAGCCAAAGAGAGAGACCAGAGAGAGAGAGAGAGACCATCCTTTCCGGTGCGTCCATTGTCTCTTCGTATCCAAGCGACAAACATTCTATTTTGCTGTATAGAGGTTTCTGTCTGGAGTGGATTAATGCCATTAGCTCACTGTAGCTCACATTAGCTTACTCTGCCCCTGATTCACCTCTCTCTCTCTCTCTCTCTCTCTCTCTCTCTCTCTCTCTCTCTCTCTCTCTCTCTCTCTCTCTCTCTCTCTCTCTCTCTCTCTCTCTCTCTCTCGGCCCGAAACCAAACCCGGCGTGTTCTTATTGTGTGGTCTCCGTGCCGAACTGCGCAGATGAAAACACTCTGATTCTCCTCCGAGTCCTGAACATTTAGCTCCGTAATTGTTTACATCTGCCACATTTGCTAAAAAGCTGGAAAATACAAAACCCAGAAAGAAAGAAGTCAGAAGTCTGGCCCCGGGATCATTGGCAGGCGATGAGAGCGGGAGCCCAGGCCAAGCTACAGCGGCCTCGTGAGAATGCATTTCATCTTTTGTACGACGGCAAACAAGAGCTATGTGAGTCGCTATTGGACGATCAGGACTGAAAGCTGATTGGCCGAGGGAGCGTGGGGTCTATTCTATCACTTTTCTGTTGGAAAAAACGGATTCGAAATGGGGAATGTGGTGAGAAATCGACCGTTTTTAAGGGTTTGACAGATTTGCGTTGATGCGAAGCCGACCTGGAGCTGTTTTTTTTATTTGACCATGCTGGTATGAGGGGCAGGCATGTAGCTCCGCCCCTTCTGTGTCAGAGCAAAGTCTCGGTCGAACAAAAGGAAAATGTCATTGTATCATCATGACATCAAAAGAGAGAGGAGAGAGAGAGACCAGAGACCAATAAGAGAGAGACCAAAGAGAGACCATAGAGAGAGAGAGAGACCATCCTTACCATCCATTGTCCCTTCGTTTCCAAGCAATAAATATTCTGTTTTGCCGAAGAGGCTTCTGTCGGGAGTTGATTAATGGAGCGTTTAAACCCAGAGAGGAATGAGTTTTAGTCGTCGACTCGTGTGGAGCAGTGATGAATGTGAAAACTCAGCCGAGAGAATGAAAAATGCCACAAGGAAAGACGAGGCTGTAGCAGAAAACTCAATGATTTTATGAACTGCAGTCTCTAGAACTATAGTTACTACAGAGTGTGACATCACCACAGTGTTCGCCTTAATGTGGACGAGGCTGATTTGAAAAGAAGCTAGCTGGAGCCAATTTGCTAAGACGGTTGCTAAGACAAGCTGGAGTTTCCCCCGCAATTTAAGGCATCTGATTGGTCAATCCTTATGGTCCATATCTGCATTTACTAAGACAATATCATGTAATAAACAACAGGATCAGCCTTTTCTAAAGCCCTGGGATTCGAACCCAAGAGAATGCTATCCACTCACGTTAGCCACTGTGCCACCATAACAGATGTCATGGATCATCACCGTCCTTCAACCCTGCATCAGAGAGGAACCACTCAAAAACACACTGGGAAAATCATCCAGGAGGCCCATGTTTAGAGAGGGACCCGCTCCCACAGACAGACGGGCTGTAGACCCAGGACTGAGGCTGTAGATCCAGGACTGAGGCTGTAGATCCAGGACTGAGGCTGTAGATCCAGGACTGAGGCTGTAGAAGGCTGTAGATCCAGGACTGAGGCTGCAGATCCAGGACTGAGGCTATAGGACCCAGGACTGAGGCTGTAGGACCCAGGACTGAGGCTGTAGATCCAGGACTGAGGCTGTAGACCCAGGACTGAGGCTGTAGATCCAGGACTGAGGCTGTAGATCCAGGACTGAGGCTCTAGATCCAGGACTGAGGCTGTAGATCCAGAACTCATGCTGTGTGTATATCCGGGGAGGCTCAGGCTAACATTCCCACACACAGAGCACAAAATCCGGACGACTATTAGTGGATTAATCCCCGAGTCTGACCACTGTACAGTCCAGCGGCTGAGGCAGTGAGAGTGACGGTGGGAGGTGGGTGGTGGGTGCCGGCTGGGTGCTGGCTGGGTGCTGGGTGGCAGATGGCCCTGATGGGGGGAGGCCCTGTCTGCATTGAAAGGATTAGCATGGAAGCTAACCCCACTCTCCATAGCTTTACAAACCATATCTGTGTCAGTGGTGCAGCGGTTAAGCCACACATCATTCACACATGTACCTTTACTCACTTTTGACCTTTTTAACTGCTCTTTGGATTAATTCACCTCAGAACAACAGAACTTGCCCATAACGACTTCGTTCATGGTATTTTTGGGTGTATTACGTCTGTGTTTTGTGGAGTTTGGGACGGTTTGACTCTGAAGATGAAGTGGTTGTCTGCGTTTCGCTCCCGGTTCTCGGGAGGCAGCCGCAGTGCCCCGGTGAGCCCGGCGTCCAGCCCCTCCACGCCGTCCAAGGCCGAGCTCAGGGACCGGAAGGTAGGAGCGGCTTTGTATTCACCGGATTTTGCTGTTTTCTTATCGGTTAATTGGCTTGGGGACCGTCACACAACTGTATTTCTCTTCGAATAAATCAAGATAGTAATATCTATCTATCCATCTTTCATAGCAACCAAAGAGCAAATTCTTTCTGTCTCTCTCTGGTCTCTCTCTCTCTCTCTCTCTCTTTATCTCTCTCACTATCTCACTGATCTCTCTATGGTCTCTCTCTGGTCTGTCTCTGGTCGCTTTCTGGTCTTTCTTTGGTCTCTCTGGCCTCTCTGTGGTCTCTCTCTGGTCTCTCTATCAGTCTCTCTCTGGTATCTGTTGTCTCTCTCTGGTCTCTCTGGTCTCTCTCTGTGGTCTCTCTGAGGTCTCCTTCTGGTATCTCTTTGGTTTCTCTCTGGTCTCCCTGTAGTCTCTCTCCCTCGTCTCTCTCTGGTCTCTCTCTCGCTTTCTGGTCTTTCTTTGGTCTCTCTGGCCTCTCTGTGGTCTCTCTCTGGTTTCTCTCTGGTCTTTCTCTGGTCTCTATCAGTCTCTCTCTGGTATCTGTTGTCTCTCTCTGGTCTCTCTTTCAGTCTCTCTCTGGTCTCTCTCTGGTCTCTCTTTCAGTCTCTCTCTGGTATCTGTGGTCTCTCTCTGGTTTCTCTCTGATCTCTCTGCTCTCTATAAATGTGAAAGCTGTTTAAGAGCTTGGTTAGGTATCCCAGCTTTTACTAATGTAATGTATGTGAGGGGGTATGGACGGACACACCAGGAGCAGGGACCAGGAGCAGGGACCAGGAGCAGGGAGCTGCAGCGGTCTGAGGTGACCACAGGTTTGAACCAGCAGTAACACACTTTTTCCACTTTCACTGCGACATCCTGCAGCACCTGTCAAAGCAAACACAGATGTGGAGGCTCTGAGGCAGGGGTCACACTGGTCCTCAAAGGGACAGAATGAGAGACCAGACAGAGAGACCAGAGAGAGGGAGAGAGACCAGAGGGGAGACCAGAAAGAGAGGCTAGAAGGGGAGAGACCAGAGAGACTCCAGAGAGAGAAAGAACAGGGAGAGAAACCAGAGAGAGAGGGTCCAGAGAGAGAGAAAGACCAGAGAGTGACCAGATAGAGACCATAGAGAGAGACCAGAGAGTCTCTGTAGATAGAGACCAGAGAAAGAGACAAAAGAGAGATCAGAGAAAGACCAAAGAGAGACCAGAGAGCAGCCAGAGAGAGACAAAAGAGAGACCACAGAAAGACCAGAGAGTGAGACCAAAGAGAGAGCCACCAGACAGAGACTGGAGAGAAACCAGAGAAAGAACAGAAAGAGCGAGTCCAGAGAAAGAACTGAAATAGAGATACTAGAGAGAGAGACCAGAGAAAGACTAGAGAGAGACTGGTCTTACCAGAGAGTAAGACCAGAGAGAGAGAGACCAGAGAAAGACTAGAGAGAGACTGGTCTTACCAGAGAGTAAGACCAGAGAGAGAGACCATAGAGATAGAGACCGAAGAGAGAGAGAGTTATAGAGAAAGATCAAAGAAAGAACAGAAACAGAGAGACCGGAAAGACCAGAGAGAGACACAGAGTTAGACTAGAGAGAGAGACCAGAGAGAGACCAGAGAGAGAGCAGTGAGAGACTAGAGAGAGACCAGAGAGAGACCAGAGAGAGACCAGAGAGAGACCAGAGAGAGACCAGAGAGAGACTAGAGAGAGACCAGAGAGAGAAAAACTGTATAACTGTAACGTGAGCATCTGTAATGGTCCTAAAGCCTTTAAATGTTTCCCTTTAAATGCCGGGAGTTATTACCGAGACTTTCCCAGTGTGTCTCCGCTCTCTCTCTCTGCTCTCCTCTGATTGGCCAGAGTGGCTCCACTCTCTCTCTCTGCTCTCCTCTGATTGGCCGATGTGGCTCCGCTCTCTCTCTGCTCTCCTCTGATTGGCCAGAGTGGCTCCGCTCTCTCTCTCTGCTCTCCTCTGATTGGCCGGTGTGGCTCCGCTCTCTCTCTGCTCTCCTCTGATTGGCCAGTGTGGCTCCACTCTCTCTCTGCTCTCCTCTGATTGGCCAGTGTGGCTCCACTCTCTCTCTGCTCTCCTCTGATTGGCCAGTGTGGCTCCACTCTCTCTCTGCTCTCCTCTGATTGGCCGGTGTCTCGGATAAGTTTTCTCTGCGGCTTCATGAGGCTGGGATGGATTAATTATTTGTTTTGGTCCGTGCTGCAGCTGATGCCGCCGTCGTTCTTCTCAATGAAACTTCTTGGCAGAGCTGCTGAAAAGTGAGACTTTGTGAAAACAGCATCAATTAGGACAAAATTCACTTAGGATTTTAGAAAAACTGATATCAGCAATTTCAGTAGCATCACTCCTACTGTGCAAAAACACAGCAAGCGACCCGGGTCTCTCTCTGGTCTTTCTGGTCTCTCCTTTTTCCTTCTCTGATCTCTCTCTAGTTTCTCTTTTGTCTCTCTCTAGTACCTCAGATCTATCTCTCTCTCTCTCTCTCTCTCTCTCTCTCTCTCTCTCTCGCTCTCTTTCTCTCACTCTCTCTCTAGTCTCTCTCTGGTCTCTCTTGTCTGTCTCTGGTCTCTCTCTTCTCTCTCTGGTCTCTCTCTGGTCTCTCTCTGGTCTTTCTCTGGTCTCTCTCTTGTCTCTCTCTGATCTCTCTCTTGTCTCTCTCTTGTCTCTCTCTGATCTCTGTCTTGTCTCTCTCTTGTCTCTCTCTGGTCTCTCTCTGGTCTCTCTCTGGTCTTTCTCTGGTCTCTCTCTTGTCTCTCTCTGATCTCTCTCTTGTCTCTCTCTTGTCTCTCTCTGGTCTCTCTCTGGTCTCTCTCTTGTTTCTCACTTGTTTCTCTCACTGGTCTCTCTCTGGTCCCTCTCCGGTCTCTCTGGTTTCTCTCTGGTCTCTCTCCGGTCTCTCGCTGGTCTCTCGCTAGTCTCTCTCCGGTCTCTCTGGTTTCTCTCTGGTCTCTCTCCAGTCTCTCGCTGGTCTCTCTCTTGTCTCTCTCTGGTCTCTCTCTGTTCTCTCTCAGGTCTCTCTCTGGTCTCTCTCTGGTCTCTCTCTGGTCTCTCTCTTGCCTCTCTCTGGTCTCTCTCTCTGGTCTCTCTCTGGTCTCTCTCTCTCTCTCTCTGGTCTCTCTCTGGTCTCTCTCTTGCCTCTTTCTGGTCTCTCTTTGGTCTCTCTCTCTGGTCTCTCTCTCTGGTCTCTCTCTGGTCTCTCTTTGGCCTCTCTCTGGTCTCTCTCTGGTCTCTCTCTGGTCTCTCTTTCCTCTCTGGTCTCTCTCTGGTCTCTCTCTGGCCCCTCTCTGGTCTCTCTCTGGTCTCTCTCTGGTCCCTCTCTGGTCCCTCTCTGGTCTCTCTCTGGTCTCTCTTTCCTCTCTGGTCTCTCTCTGGTCTCTCTCTGGTCCCTCTCTGGTCCCTCTCTGGTCTCTCTCTGGTCTCTCTCTGGTCTCTCTCTGGTCCCTCTCTGGTCTCTCTCTGGTCTCTCTCTGGTCTCTC